TATCCACCTAGGTGCCCCTCCCCCAGATCCTGTTAACCACCATTCTTCCTGTTTCTGTGAATTTGATTACTTTAGACAGCTCATATAAGTGCAATTATACAGTAGTCTTTATGTTTGGCTAATTTTACTTCGTGTAGTCTCTTCGAGATCTAGTCATGTTGTAGCATGTTAACAGGTTTTTTTTTCCTTTTTAAAAAGTAGTTACTGGGTGATGAACCATGAGAGACTATGGACTCTGAAAAACAATCTGAGGGTTTTGAAGGGGCGGGGGGTGGGATGTTGGGGGAGCCATGTGGTGGGTATTATGGAGGGCACGGATTGCATGAAGCACTGGGTGTGGTACGTAAACAATGAATTCTGTTACGCTGAAAAATAAAAAAAAAATAGTTACTGAATTTTAGTTGACATAGAGTTTTATATTAGTTTCAGGTATACGACATAGTGATTCAGCAGTTCTCTACGGACTGAGTGTTCAGTGATCAATGTGGTTACCATCTGTCAGCATGCAGTGTCAGATACAGCATGACTGTATCCCCTGTCTTGGACTTTATCTCTGTCGCTTACTTATTTTATAACTGGAAGTTAGTATCTTAATCCCCTTCACCTATTTTGCTGCCCCTCCAACCAGCCATTTATTTTCTGTATTTATAGGTTGGTTTGTTTTGATTTTTAAATTCCACATATAAGTGAAATCATGTATTTGTCTTTCTGTTGGGCTTATTTCGCTTGGCCTAATATTCTCTAAATCCATCCATGTCGCCACAAATGGCAAGATCTCTCTCTTTATGGCCAAGTAATATTCCTTTGCTTATATATACCACATCTGTATCCGTTCATCCACTGATGGACACTTGGGTTGCTTCCATATCTTGGCTATTGTGAGTGATGCTGCAATAAACATAGAGATGTGTGTTTCTTTTTGAATTAGTGTTTTCATTTTTCTTTGGGTAAATACCAAATAGTGGAATTACTGGATTATATGGCATTTGGGGTTTGGTTTTTGGTTTTGGTTTTTTAAGTAGACCTCCTGCCCAGCGTAAAGCCCAACTCAGGACTTGAACTCCCCACACAGAGATCAGGACCTGAGCTGAGATCAAGAGTCAGACACTTAACCAACTGAGCCACCCAGGCACCCTGCATTTGATTTTTAATTTGTTGAGGAACTTCCATACTGTTTTTCACAATGGTTGCACCAGTTTCCTTTCCCATCAGCGGGGCATGTGGGTTCCTTCTTCCCCATATCCTCACCAGCATTTGTTATTTCTTATCTCTTTGATACTAGCTGTTCTGACCAGTGTGAGGTGATACCTCATTGTGGTTTGCATTTGCATTTCCCTCATGATTTACTGATATTTAGCATCTTCTCATGTGTCTGTTGGCAATTCATGTGTCTTCTCTGGAAAAATGGCTGTTCAGGTCCTCTGCCCATTTTTTAATCAGACTGGTTTTTGTTTGTTTTTGGTGTTGAGTTGTATAAATTTGGATATTAGATATTTTGGATAGATAATCCCTTATCAGATGTATCATTTGCAGATACCCTCTCTTCATTCAGTAGGCTGCCTTTTTCTTCTGTTGATGGTTCCCTTTGTTGTACAAAAGCTTTTACTTTGGTGTAGTTTATTTTTGTTTTTATGTAGTTTATTTTTGCTTTTGTTTACCTTGCCTGAGGAGACATAACCATAAATATTTTGCTGTGGCCGATATCCAAGAGATTACTGCCTGTGTTTTCTTTTAGGAGTTCTATGGGTTCAGGCCTCACATTTAGGTATTTTGAGTTTATTTTTGTATATGGTGTAAGAAAGTGGCCCAGTTTCATTCTTTAGCATGTAGCTGTCCAGTTTTCCTCAACACCTTTTATGGAGAAGGCTCTCTGCTTGGGGGGTGGGGGAAGAAAGAAACGGCTGTCTTTCCCCACTGTATATTCTTGCCTCTTTTGTTGTAGATTAATTGACCATAGAAGTGTGGGTTAGGATTTCCTATTTTTTTTTTTTTTTAAGCTGTGTCGTATTCCGTTATAGGTGTAGATCACATTTTGTTTATTCATCCATCGATGTACATTTGGGTAACTTCCAGCTCCTGGCTGTCCGATACAGTGCTGCTGTAACATGGATGCATAAAAACTCTAGATACTCTGCTTTTCATTCTTGTGGCCATATACCCAGAAGTAATATTGGCAACTATGTTTTTTAAAACTACAGTTTTCAAAATACTTAACCCCTTGAAATCTTTTCAAAGTTTCTCTTTGATAAAGCAGTCCTAACAGTGCATTCCAAATGTTGAAGACTTAAGTCAATAGGTGCAGGTTAAAATAAATGAGTTTGTGATGACATTTGAAGATTCCATTAATGCCAAGTAGAAATAAAAATTCAGACTATAAAAGGGTATGAGGATTTGGCTCTGTTTTGCAAGTTTTTTCTTGTTTTTTTGAAAGTTGATGCTGCCTAAGGATAAATATAAATTCATGGGGGTCCATTAAAACAGCATGAATGAAGTGGACTGC